CGCCGCCTCCCCGCCTCCCCGCCTCCCTCCCGCACCGCTCCGAGTAGGACCCGGCCTGAGACGAGGGCGCGCCCCCGACGGGCTTGGGCGCGTGCGCGCGCGGTCCCGGCACTCCGTGACCTGGTGCGTTCTCTTTCCTGGCCAGGCCTGCCACCTACGGCGCACTACCTGAGTTTTTCTCTGCAATTACTTGAGTAGGCTGCATTTTCTCCCCGCCCTTCTCTGTAAGGTGAGGACGTGGGGTAAATAATTTTTCTTAAAGGTAAGGGAGAGAACAGCAGTGAGCAGGAAAAACCGGGTCATCGCCATCGTCATCACCAACCAGAGCTCCCGGCTGCTGGGCACTTTTACACGGTACCTTGGTCTGAAGTCGTCCTGCTTTCCTTACGCTTTTTAGATTCTCAGTTTAGTTCTCTTTAAGTTATCTCTGCTAGTCAGTCCTTTGGTCGGGCGACTCCAACGAAAAAAAAAATGCCTGGTGATTCCCTGGCTCAATTGAAAAGAGAGGAAGACAACATTAAGAAAAATTAACTAACCTCAAGACCTGTGGTGAATGTGTGTACAGTTCTGGACTAGAAGCTGGGCATGCAAAGATGATATGAATTAATGTGTGTGGCTCCTTTTTTCTCTCCTAGCCCCTGATTCTCATAAGGAATGTGTCTTGAGGCCTAGTAGAATTGCATTTTCAGAGGCAGCCGTAGTGATCATTATACTCTTTACTGGCCAAGCCACATCTGGAGTTACGTGTTCAATTCTAGATTGAGCAATTTAAGAAGACCTCAAAGAAGTTGAAATTATTTCAGAGAAGAGCAAAATGGTGAAGAGAACTCAAAAACAACAAATGAAGTAGTGGTTGAACTTTGGAGGATTCTTATAGAAAAAAACTACTGGGGCTATCTCCAAATCGGTACAGACTTGTTATATGGCATAGATTTGTTTTATGTGGTCTCAAGAGATGCAGACTTGAGAGAAACAGATTTCAGATCCTGAAAGGAAGATCCCCTTCTAGGACTAAACAGAGAAATTGCATTAGGGTGCATAGATACCCCGACTACTGGATTTGATTTTAAGTAGATTTTAAAGGCTTACTTAAACTGTACTAAGTGCAGGGTAGCCATGCATCGAGAGAAGAATTAGTTGATGGTTTTGTTAAAGTTACTTCCAGTTTTGATATTCAATCAGTCCATGGTCCCAGCCTTAAAAGAATCTACAGTTAGCTTATGAGGTAAGACAAATGCATCAAAAGGTAAATAATGCAAAGAAGCCATATGGTAAAGAGAGTTACTAACAATAAGTGCTAGGAATTCACACGACAGATTGTTATTACAGTTCCAAAGTCTTAAGGAAGAAGGAGGAAATGAAAATAGACTATCTAGAACTGCCCTGTCCAGTAGGGTAGCCACTAGCCAAATGTGGCTATTCTCTCTTGAAATAGAGCTGGTCTGAATTGAGAAATGCAGTAAGTGTGAAATACCAGATTTCAAAAACTTAGTACCAAGAAAAAGTAAAATATCTTAATTCTTATATGGACTACATATTGAAATAAGATTTGGTATATATTGGATCAATATATTAAAATTAATTTTACTGATTTATTTTTCCTCTTTTAATGTGGCTACTGGAAAATTTTAAAACAGATGGCTTGCATCTTATTTTTATTAGACAGTCCTGGCTTAGAAGGACATATAGTTCATTGAACTCTAAAAACTGGCTTTGTCCTCTTTGTAGTCCCTGGGGGGTTGTCCAAAATGTTAATGGAAAGGCAATCTGATGACAAGATGCTAATGAAGGAAGACTGTCCAGATCCAGAATGTATGTCATGAGCAAAGACAAGGAAACAAGACTGCAGGTACATTCTATTAAAGTGAGTACCTATTTATCTATAATGGAAGGTTATTATAAGATGATAGTAACATTAAAATGAGGTAGAAACTAGTCTGTAAGGAGACTTAATTTTGAATTTAAGGAATTTAGTACTGTAAGCAATCAAGATTTGGCAGTTACAAAATGGGATTTTAAGATTATCTTGGCAATATTGGGTAGGGTACATTGAAATAAATGGGTAGTTAGGAGACCAATTAAAACTCATTGTCCTTAAAATATGTATTATACCAAAAAATGTTCAGTAGGTGATTGATTTAAATAAATTATAGCACACCTCTAAAGTGGAATACTCTATAGGCATTAAAAAAGTATGACTTAAATCTGTGTTGCTTGATATGGGAGTATATCAACATGTACAATTGAGTACATAATTTGTAAAACTATATGAATAATATAAACCCTCATATGTAAAATTATATGTGTATGTATGTAACTAGATCATTTGACTAAGTGTCTTAATCATCTCAGAATTGTCTCAAAAACAGAAAATCTCAAGGTGAAATTGTTTCCAGTTCGTTTTCAGTGGCTCAACAAAGTCATCTGTGTTTTTGGCTCTTCTCATCTCTATATTCCTTTATCCTTAGTATGTTAACTGTTTATATTCAGCCTTGTCACCTTATGGGTGAATGAGTTGACAAATTCCAGACTGATTTGCAGTCCATCAGTCTCTTAGTATCTGCTTTGGTATATATGTCCACTAGGTGGGCTCAGCTCACCAGTGCCCCACAACCTCAGCTTCTAGGCCTTTCTGCTTTGACCTGTTCTCAGTCCATTGTCTTCGTTTCTTCTCTACCGCAGGTTGCAACATTGGGTTTTAAAATTTCATCTTTGCTGGGCCTCAGTGCAGTTTCTTATCTGGAGCTGACACTTAACGACTCGGGAATGCGGATTACTAAAAGACTCAATTCTAAGATAAACTTCCCTAACACTTTTAATAAATGATGTTGGGAAGGAAAAAAAGCTAGATGACTGCCATGGCAGACACTATCGGTTGCCTCTCCAATCACATTTTTCTCCTCGTAATGAAATTAATAATTTAGGGTACCAATCGACTAAAGAAATGTGAGCTCCTCCCATTACTCTGGAAGTAATTCTATTTCCCTTAGACTGAAAATGTTGTAGAGGTGATCATGTAACCAAGGGACAGTCAGCTAGGGAGGATTCTGCAATAATTTTTACCCAAATGGCAAAATATATGCTTATAAACTATCAAGAGTTATTCTTGGGTTACTGTTCATGACGGTGGAGTTGGCATATAATTTGCCTATTATTCTTTTCTGGACACTTCTGAAATAAAAATGTGGAAGTAGAAAAGCCGAGGAATAAATATGAATAAAGATGTGTGTTTTGTGTATGCACTTATGTGGAGGGGAGAATGGTATGTGGAAAAGGGAAGAAAAGTAAATGAAAATTCAACACTTCCGTGGAAAACAAAGCTAATAGTAGTGGTTTAACTAGTAGTAACAAAACCATTGCCTAAAAAAATATAGTGAAGAAGCTACAAAAGAATTAGTTGGAGGCATGGCAGAAGGCAGAAGTGAGAATAAGCTGAAAATGGAGATACATTCTAAATATGGTACAACTGAATCAATCATCACGCACATTTACTTCACTCATTCATATACGCTGAGAGCAGGCAAAGACATCTGCCAGCAGACAAAAACAGAAGCCGAATAAAACTCCAAATCTTCTCTAAATGTGTAAATAGTAGAGAAGAGATGGAAGCTTTTATGTTGACAATACTGAGTAAAACCATTCTTTTTTCTGGCATTCAGGGCCAGGGTCTAGAGAGCCAGCTACTTTCCTACCCATCCTGAAGTGAAACTTGATATATGGTATTTCAGTCCCTGCCATGCCCAACCCAGCCACTTATTCACAATTCCCATGTAGGAGAGAGAACTGGAAGAAATCCTACTTACTAAAGCAAAAGAATGACCGGTTCTTTTATATATATGAACATACAATGAAGAATCAACAGGCAAATCAGGAAAATCATTATGAAAAAGACAAAGAAAAACAAAAAAACTAACTCTAAAGGAAGCAAATATAATTCACAAAATAACATTTTTTTAAAGCATTCCAATTTATATACTCCAGTATTGAGAACATATTATATCTATAATATACAAACAAAGTGCTCTGAAAAAGGAGCGACCATATAATGAAATAAAGTTCTGAGACACCTAAAATCATAATTGCTTAAATAAAAAATTCAATGGAAATACTAGAGATAAAATCAAAGAAATCTAGAACATAGCATACATAGAAAAGAAAATACGAGAAAAGATTCATGGAGAGCCCATCTAGCAGACTAACATTCCACTAGCAAGATTTAAATAAAAGTGAGGAAAGAAATTTTAATTATAAGAGATTTTTTAAGAATGTTGAAGAAAAGTTTTCAGATTGAGTAGGCTACAGGGTACCAGAAAATATATATAAAAAGAGTCATACTTGGAGACATTATCATGTAATACCAAGACTAAAAACTAGGAATAATAATAGTCAATAATTCTAAAGTTTCTAAACATAAAAGACATGTTATCAACAAAGGAATGAATATCAGACCTAGTACTGGATACCGGAAGACGATGACAGCATTTTTGTAGACAATTTTTAAGTCTAGAATTCTGTAATTCAAATAATCAATTAACCGCAAAAGCAAAATAAAGATGTTTTCAGACAAATAACGCTCAGAACTGAAGAGCAGTTTCCTCCCATGTGATCTTTTAGGAATTACGTGAGCATCTACTCTAGGAAAATAAGGTCAAAAACTGAGGAAATAATGGAATTCTGAAAAAGGTGCACCAATCCTAAAAAAAAAATGCAAAGAAAAATCCTGGAAAAGGCCTGTGAAGCAAATCTAGAGGGGAAAGGGGGTCGTTTTTTGTCGATGGGAGCAATTAGAGTTCAAGGAGTAAGGTCTTATGGAAGGAAATGGAGAATTCAGTGGAATAAATGGTAAGATAGGGGATTAGAAGGAAAAAAAAAAGTTGTAGTAAGTCAAATAGTGCAAGGATAAAATGAGGAAAGAAGTAGTTCCTTAAAGGAAATTCCAGAAAAAAAAAAAAATTATCAGAAGGATCACAACAATACATATCCACTATACCTAGCCTGAGAGGAAGAAAGGGAGCCAGCAAAGGAGAGTGGCCAAAGAGGAAAGATATATATCGCCAAGATATATAAAATTATTTTTTTAAAGTTGTCAACAGGATTAATTACTGCTTAAAGTCAAGGAGAGTGGAGACTAAGTAAATGTCTTTGGGGATTTAGGTGATTGATGAATTGGAAGTAATTTTAGTAACCTGGCAGAGATGGAATCAGAATGGCAAGTATAAGAGTAAATGAGAAGTGACAAAATGAAAACACTGATGATAATTGTTTTTGTGTAGTAAATACATGAAAAAAGCAGAACAATACATGAAAGAAATATCAGGGTCCAGAGAAAGACTTTTGTCTGTATATATGTTTTTTAAGATAGAAGAAAACAAAACCAAAAATGAAATGTTGATAAAGAGAAAGAGCCTGTAAGAAAGAAATGAGTTAAGGAAATAATGAGGTAAAGGCAGACAAGGATGCACTCGAGACCATGGGTGAAGTTATTAACCTTGGTAAAGAGACTTTTTCCATGAGACAGGACAGAAGTAGAGGATGCTTGAAAATACAGGGAAAGTTGAAGGTATTAAGGAATGTAGAGCTATAAAAATTTCAAAGTCAAATATACGATATGAAAGGTATGTTTCTTTTGGCAGCCCTGAAATTATAAATTGTTCAATGGATGAATATTTTAACTGTTTTCTACATGATGAGATATATTAAATTTTCATAAAATATTACAAGATGCTGATAAAAGCCAATTTCAAAGATGCAGTTTCAAGGATGTATAGGTTAGTTTATAAAAAGTAATACTACTCAAAGTCAGTATAAACATATGAAATAAAAACTACAGATCACAGTTTTCAGTTTACAGTTTTCATTGGCTAATTTAACTTGAGATCCAATTGGTCGTCCAAATGCCAAGCGAGACTCCATGATAAGTCTGAGTATGCATATGAATATATGCTTCTGTGTGTGAATGGAACTTGGGGGAAGGAAAATTAGAGGTAGTTAGCTGCCAAACAAATTATTTTAAACTAGCTTTTTGATATCAGAAACTAGGTTTGAGTTCTTATACAAGTAAATCATTCACCCAAAGTTTGGAGCTGAAACATGTTTATTCCTTAAAGCATTGCGTGTGGGAAGGAAAGAATCATTCTTTGCCAACTGTTACCACATGTAACTCTCCAATAGATGTTAGGAAATTGTTTACACTGCATATAATGAGACTAAGAATAACAGTAGCTTAAACAAGAGTTTTCCTCTCACATAACAGACTAGATGGGTAATCCTGGAATGGTTGCTTTCTTGATTTAGTCATCCAGGAACCCACACATTTTCTCTTTACTCTGCCATTTCTAGAGTGTTGTCCTCATCTTGTAGTCCAAGATTATTCAAAACCATAACCATATTCCAAGTAGCTGTCTAAAGGAAGAGAAGAAACAAAAGCACGTTCCTTTGGGAACAGGAGCTGAAAGTATACCTTTCATTTTCAGTCACATGGCTACACTTAGTTGCAAGGAAAGCTGGGAAATGTAGTTTTTACTTTAAGCAACTATAAACTCTGTTAAAAAAAAATCAGTTCTATTACTATGAGGAATAGAGAGATATTTGGAGATAAATGTTTCATCCAGATGCTTTTCCTTCTCAATTAAAGCAAATATACTGTTATTGAACAGATAAGGAGAGCCTCCTTTCACTTCTTATTAGAATGAGCTACAGGAAACAGGGTGGAATATCAAGAATACCTTTTCTCTCTGTCTAGCACATAAAAGGTGAGTTAGTAAGAAAATTATAACATAAAATGCTGGATATTAATTATTGTAAGGATTAATTTCTTTTCCTGAAATTTAAACTATTCTTAAGCATGTTTAATATGGTCAAAGTGAAGTTTTCATTCATTCTACCTACAATAATTAATTAAGCATATATCACATAACCTACACTTTGCTAAACATTGTGAAACTTCAAAAAAATATATCTCTAGTCTCAAGGAACTTAGAAGAACTTACAGTTTGAGTAGGAGACAAGTTTATCACAAGACTATTTAAGAACAATTAAGTACTGAGTTGTGAGATACTATATGAATATAAAGAATACAAAGTAAAGATAGGGCACTGCTGGTTTCAGGAGATTAAAAACCTTTGTGGAAAAAGTGAAAAGTGAACTGGGCATATAAGAATAAGTAGAATGTATTAAACCTTTCATATGCAATATAAAAGGTTTATTTATAGGATTGATTCTAGAGAATAAAGATATGTTGAATTTAAAAGTCTCAGTTGTGGCTGGTGGTAGCCTAAAGGCTAAAATTTGCTGGCTTATTAGTTTATAAACAGGTTTCATTTCTTATTATTTACTCTATTTTGAATCTACAAGTACCAGCAGAATTCCTAACACAGAGCAGACACCAAGTGTTTGTTAAATCAATACAATTTTTTTTAGACTCAGTGTTTTCTTTATTATGTGACTAAGGACATATTTTTTATTGAGGTATAGCTTTTTTATTTAAAAAAATTTAGGTATACTAAAGTGTACAGATCTTAAGCTAACAGTGCGGTATGCTACCTCATGTAACATACCTAAATCAAGATATAGAATATTTTCAGCACTCTTTGATGCTCCAGATGACTCTCCCAATCACCAGTCAATCCCCCAACCCTACTCCAGCCACCTCGAAGGAGCCATTATTCAATATAGATTATATCAATATAGATTAGTAGTCTTGGTTTTGAAATTAATATAAATGAAATTACATAGTATGTCACTCAACAAATTTTCATGTTGTTGACACCCTAGCCTTAATTTGTGACACTTTTTGATACTTGAAAGATATTTTCCACCTTCTATTTTAAAAGTCTTTTCTTACAGGAAATCACACAAAAGGTGTTTATTATGTAGTAATATACATTAAAAGTGCTTTGATCTTTAAACTTCAAAGACAGATTGTGCTTACTTTTAGGATAGATAAGGTCAATATAACCTTCATCCTGTACCATTATAGTATAACTTGGTACTATATATATGGATTCTACTCCAATTACTAACCTGTAATGCATTTTTTTTAAAGTTGGACAATAGCTACAGAATAAAATTTGAGTTTCCCAGTAGACTATAAAGCTAGAACTGACCATAAAAGAAAAACAAGGCTGAGTAGCAACATTACAGTGATTTTGAGGCTTGGGGATTGGGTAAGCATATAACACTCCCCTAAAAAGAGTAAACTCCCAAAGACCTCCATAAGGAACAGTGA